TCCCCGCTGCCTCGTCTCATGGGGAAAAGAGACGATCGGGAGGGTTTGGGAGGCGGGGGGAGGGGGGTAGGGAGAAGGAAGAAAAATAATAATAATTCAAACAACCCAAAACAACAGGGCGATGCAGGAGGGGTTCGCTCTGACAGCAGCCGTCAGACCACGGTGTTCTCCGTCCCTGGGGGTGCCCTGAAATAGCGGTGGGGGCACCTGAGCGCGCCTGATGCCCACTGATGCGTTGATGGGTGCGAGTGCCGGGGGGGTCTGCTTCGATCGCCGCTGCTGTGCTGGCATGGAAACAAGACGGGGGGATGGCACAGCCCTGAGGTGCTCACCTGGGGCGGGATGCATGGTCCAGCTGCCCCCCCTCCGCCGTCACCTTCCTGCCCTCCGCGGGTGCTGCAGCCTTTGCATCGTTGTTTCGGTCGCGGATGGTCGAGGTGGGGGGAGGTTGGGTTGAGGGGGGGCTCAGCAAATGGCTGCACGGCGACCAAATGGCCCGGCCCCGCACCGGCGCTGCCCCGTAACGCCGCTGCCCCCCCGGCCCCTACCCCCGGTTTGTTTGTATTGTGTCAGAAAAGGAGAGAATTTCAGAATTACAGCTGAAAACGCCATCTGTTTCCAATGAATCCCCCATAGTTTTTCACAATGTTTTTGGCAGATCTCTGCCTGCAAATTCCTTCAAGCCCTGAGTGCTTGTTTTTGTTGGGGGAGGGGAAACCGAGTCCACAGAGGCGGATTTGTTCCTTCCAAAACTCTCCAGTTTCTTTACCTCCTTTTTTTTTTTTTTTTTCTGCTTGCAAAAAGTGGAGGGGGGAAGGAGAGAAAGCAGGAGGGAGAGCGAACAGCCTTTGCGCTCTGCTCTGCCAGGTTTGTTTATCTTGCATTTGAGCACAAGTTTTCCCCTTTCCCAAATTTTATGCCTTTCTTTTGCATAACTGTAGGTGCAGCCGTCTTGCACACACATGCAGCAAATAAATAAAGCGCTGCTCTGCGCCCTCCTGTCTTACATGCAGTGAGCCCATCTGTGCCGTGCTCACGCCGAGCCCGTCCCCCCCCAGCCCTGCACAAACGCCTAGTTTGGGGGTTTAAGCCATTGCAGCACCCACAATGCCCTGTTGCGAGCGGGTTGGGGCTGTGAGATTTACGGTGCAAGAAAGAACTTGATACGCGATCTGCCCGCCTGCTTTGTTTGATTCTCCCTTCAGCAGTCAAATAAGGTGCAAAGAACTGGCAAAACGGGGCGATCCGGAGCCGGCGGGAGCAGGGAGCAGACAGATGGTGCTGCCCGTGTGTGGTGCTGGGGGGCCCGCTGCCAGCTCTGGGGGTGGGAAGATGGGGATGGGGTACAGGGGGGGGGGATTTCTTCCTCCTTTCCCCCTCTTGGTTTCCCATGAAGGATTTTGGCAGAGTCCCCAAAAAGGTGTCGCAGCCCCAGGAAGCCACGTAGTTCTCCAAAACCTGGGGGGACGTGGGGCTTGGTGGGCTGAGTCGCTGCCTCATCGAGTCCTGCCTTACTTATTTACTTGCGTAACCCCCCCTACATGCAGCTTGGGCTGGATTCTCAAGTGCACTGCTTTCACACCAATGACTTCAACCTGGCTTCAATTCCATGGAGGTCCTGGGGGGGGGGGATACTGGTTACAAAAAGCTACCGCTGGCAGAAGTCCTGCATGGGGGGCAGGATGGTGCTCACACCAACACTTGGGATGTTCATGGGTATTGTCCCACCCTTGTGTCTGGGGTGCCTCCACCTCCCAGCTGGGGCTGCACTGAGTTTTCTTGCAAATCGTTTTGAAAATCAGTCCAGTTTTTGCTCTCCCACATGTCCTTTAGTTCACTTCGGCTTTCCCAGATGGTGGCTTGCTTTGGCTGCTTCTGCCTTCAAAACATTTTCTGCCCTTGGTCCACCTGGGCAAAGGGGTGGATTCCCACAAAGGATCCAGCCCAGAAGTTTTTGTCACGCTGGCAAGGAGGGATGTGATAACAGCATTAAGCCAATATTGAGAAGAGGAGCTGAACCAACATCACCTGAGCACCTTGAATAGGGCCAGGGACTGGGAGGACACTGTCAGTGCTGGGAAGTGGGGAGAGATTCAAACGTCAGCCTGGAAATACATGGGCTTCCCTGTTGCACTGCATGCTGAGCTGGCCTTGTACCTGGATATGGGGTGGGCACTTTGCTTGTTTTTCCCCCACAGATTGCCTTCCCAAGATTCTAGGTCCTTGCTGACTGGAAATGGGGGAATATCGGGGGTGACTTTGGGTTTATATTGGCAGCAGCTGAGGTTTCCTTTTTTGTGGCCAATGCGGGTGTGTGTGTGAAAGCACTCGGTGCAGCCCAGAGAACTTCCTGACCTGGGGCTTTGGGGCTAAGCACCAACCTGCTGGTCCCAGAGAGCTGGGGCACGGTGACAGTGAGCTCTGTGCTCTCCCTCCAGCTCAGCCCTGGGTGAACATTAGAGGAATGGCAAGAAAAAAAGCAATGGCAATGGGGGTTTGGCACAGCTAAATGGGTACTCCAGTAAATGTGGAATAAGGGGGCCTAAAGAGCAGTTGGTGTCCTGGATGGTTTAAATGGGGCTGGAGAGAGCTCAGGGCTGCTGCAAGCTTGGGGTGGGGATGTAGTGGTCTGGGGTGGGATGGGGGATGCTCGGATGCGGCTGTGCTCAGATGTGCAGATGGGGCAGCTGAGGAGTCTTATCCTGGGGCACGGAGCACATTTCTAACAGGAGAGCCCCTAAGTGCCTTTAAAAAGCCTTGCAACCTGCACTTGGCAACAGCCAGGATTAAAAGAAGAGCTCCCATCACTGGGATATTTATTCCCTCGTCTTGTCCGTCAGCTCTCAAAATAACAGAGCGTTCGATTGTAGCCTCGAGATTGCTTTGCACTCAAGTGCAGCCTGGCTGAGTAAATCACTGCTTCACCAGCTGAAATTCCTGCAGCGAGGGGGAGAATTGAATTATGTCCAACTGCAAAACCAGATGCCATCCCCTTGATGAAGTCATAGGGCTCTGACTGCGGAGAACAAGCTGGCTCCTACAACTGAGCAGTTCTGTGCAACGTCCCGGCCGTGGTGTGCGGGGCTGCAGTCCCTGCGGATACGAGAACAGCAAGATGTGCAGGGTGCTGAGTCCTGCTGTGCACTGCATGAGCATCCTGAGCAGTTTGCATGCTGAGAGATTCTGGCCCTGGGCTTTGCAGCCATGGGCACGGCTGAGCACAAGGATGGGTGGGCAAAGCTGGGTGGTTTTTTGTTACTTTTGACCTCATGGGCTGTTTGGTCCCTGTGTTTCCCCAGCTGTGACCCCAGCATTTCTTGGGTGCCCACCTAGGTTTTGGGTTGGGTGCTGTGCCACCACCCCCCGCCCTGCGCTCAAACCAACGCCTCCGATGGAGATGCCGCAATTTTTTTGGCAGGCATTTAATTGTATAAATTTGCCTCATCCAGATTTATGTGCTCCGGGCTTTTCTCCATCTCCTCATTTTGTGTCTCATTTACCTCTGCGTTTGAAGGGTTGAAATTTCACAAGAGCACAGCGGGGATGATTATTCCTAGAGGGAATCCACACCTGTAAGCATTGAGTGCTTCCCTGCCAGCCCTGCTGCGGCCCGGGCAAGGGGGAGGAGGGTGAAGGACCCGCTGCCACACCTGGGGGGCCCGCGGGCGCTGGTGGGTGGCAGCTGTGCCTTCAAAGGCACCCTGGGAAAACAACTCGGGTGCACGGAGCGCAATGGAAATCCAAAGCAGATGTCTGTGGGGCTGCCAGGCCTGGGGTGGCTGGGGCTGGTGGCTGGAGGAGGTGGCCGAGGGCACCCGTGTTGCTGCTTTAGGGACAGGTGCTGTTGGAGAAGCTGGGGGTGACGTTTCGTATAGGGGTTGAGGGAGGAAAACCGCCTTGTTTTCCACTAGGCTCACCTTGGGTGAATCCCTGCCTGGCCCTATGTTCTTATCTGTAAAATGGAGCACTCCTCCAAGGTGGTTCACACGGATGTTGTTGGTGTTGGGAGAGCAGCCAGGAAAACCCGTGGTGTGACGTGGCGGGGAGCCGCTTTGTTAGTGCCCTTCTGCAGATGAAGAATCAAAGGAGCTTGCTTCCCTCGCTTGTCTTCCTCTGTCCACCAGCTCTCCGTCTGCATCTGTGAAGCAAAACTCAGCAACCCTCCAGCAGCAGCACAGCTCCAGGCTGCTGCTTTAACCCAAGCAGTAAAGGCACTGCTGAAGTTTGAGTCCCACAGTGAAGCCGAAGAGCAAAATGGGCCAACCTGCAACTTGCTGCTCCGGCCGTGAATCCTCATTCCTCCTTTCCGGTCCATCTTGAATGTCTCCAAATTTGCTGGGTCCTGTCGGAGCAGCATCACAACAAGCTCCAAAGCACAGGGCTGCTGCTTCTGTGCTGATGTCAGCTCTCCCATTTGGGCACTGGGAGGAGATGCGCTCAGCCCCGCTAAGCGTGCCGCAGTGCGGTGACCCGGAGCCAGAAGGGCCGATTGTGACAGGAACAGTCGTGGGCTTCTTCCACAGCATCTGGCAGTTCGTGGCCAGGGAAGGCACTGACGCTGCTGTTTTCCTGCCTGTGCTTGCCCCGTGCCTGTGATGCTGGGAGAAGAGGGATGGGGGCCATGAACTCGGTGCTGAGGACAACGGGGAGTTGGCTGTGGCAGGTCCTCCAGATGCTATAATGCTTGAGAGGGGAAAACTTCTGTGTTCTTTTTAGCACAAACAAACCGAATGGAGGCCCTTCCCCAGCATCCTTTTAAGCAACACAACCGCTGGGCTGAAAAATGCT